TAATGAATCATAAACTAGTCATAAGTTTTCCTGTGATACTCCAATATAGGAGCTTTAATAGAAACTGTGTATCGCACCAAGACAAAACCATTCACATTTACTAAATTTAAGAACTGTAATGCAGTTATTTAGCCTTAATATCAACATGCTCCATAATCTGTACCAATATAAAGTTTTGAATTAATCTTAGTCTGCCCAAAATGCCTAGTCATGATAGGCATGATAGTGGCCCTCTCTGTAATTAATATTTTATATTATGTAAACCACACAATATCCTATAATATGTAAACCCTGCATTGTAATCTTTATAGAGAATAAACTTGATTGATTGATTGATTGATATGTTCACTTTCAACTTTCTACATTTACACACCCTACCAAACTCGTCCACTAACCTTTGCAACTTTTCTTTAGAATCCCCCAAAAGCACAGTATCATCAGCAGAAAGTATTTGTGTCAACTCTCATTTTGTATTTGATTCCCCATAATTTAACCCTTTGACTGTTTTGGTCGTATATATACGCCTGACGAGCCAATGTGTTTGACGTATATATACTCAAAAATTCTAGCGGCTTCAAATCAAGCAGGAGAAAGCTGGTAGGCCCATGTGTGAGGGAATGGGTCTGTGTGGTCAGTGTGCACAGTATAAAAAAAATCTTGCAGCATGCAGTGCATAATGAGAAAAAACTCCGACCATGTTTTTGCATTAAAACACCGACTTTGAAGTGTATTTTCATATTGTATTTATGGTTGTATTCTTGTTTTCTTGGTCTCATTTGATAGAATGGAAAACATATTATAGAAATAGAAGTGATTTTGATTGGTTTTACTATGAAAATTATCTTGAAATGGAGCTCAAAGTGGCAGAAATGTTCAATTTTTCCCGATGTTCAAGAGTAAACAAATGATGTCATTGTCCAATAAATGTCCAACTAGCCATTCTAATACGCAGTTATGAATGGGTTGACGTTATTTATACAATTATTACAATATTGCAGTAGTCTGCATAACAGTAAATCTTCTATTTTTTGTGTGAATAAAAATTCGAAATAGAAAGCAAGAGTATTATAACAGAGGCCTGGAGAAGTGACTGGTGAACAGAGAAAATATTATTTTAGTGCCAGGAATGTCTGCATTGTTCATTCTGGACTCTATTTTGATATTGACATATTTTTTAATTTGCATGAAATTGGCCAAATTGCCAATTTCTGACCACTTTATTGGGTAGTTGAAATCGTAAATGGGCAGTTTCTTGTACTCAATCGATAGAACAAATGGAGTTCTAAAGAAATAGCTATGAGTTTGGTTGACTGGAACAATGGAATTGGCCGAAAATAGGGCTCAAATTAGGCAAAATCACTGATGCATAAATGTCGCCAAGGTTGCTAACTTCGCAAGAGTGTAATTCCGTAAGTTTTCCATCAAGTTTCATACTTTTGGTGTCGTTATCATCAGGAAAAGATTCTCTATCATTTCATAAGAAAAAATAACTTTTTTTTCTCAAATATTTTGCGACACCAGGAGACACTTCAGGATTTGGGGTTGCGACAGTCAAAGGGTTAATCCCACCCCTCTTCCTAGCACCCTAACATTTACTTCTTTTACAACCCCATCTATAAATATGTTAAACAACCATAGTAACATTATACATCCCTGTCTAACACCTACTTTTACTGCAAAGTAATCTCCCTCCCTCTTACACATCCTAACCTGAGCCTCACTATCCTCATAAAAACTCTTTACAGCATTTAGTAACTTACCACCTATTCCATACACTTGCAACATCTGCCACATTGCTCCCCTATCCACTCTATCAAATGCCTTTTCTAAATCCATAAATACAATAAGAACTTCCATACCTTTATCTAAATACTGTTCACATATATGCTTCAATGTAAACACCTGATCTACACATCCCCTACCCACTCTAAAGCCTCCTTGCTCATCTGCAATCCTGCTCTCTGTCTTACCTTTAATTCTTCCAATAATAACCTTACCATCCTATACTTTACCTGGTACTATACTCACTAAACTTATTCCCCAATTTTTTTTACAATCTCTTTTGTCCCCCTTCCCTTTATATAAAGGAATTATACACACTCTCTGTCAATCCCTTGGTAGCTTCCCCTCTTTCATACATTACTAAACAAAAATACCAATCACTCCAACACTATATCTCCCCCTGCTTTTAACATTTCCGTCATGATCCCATCAGTTCCAGCTGTTCTACCCCCTTTCATTCTACATAATGGTTCATGAACCTCTCCTACTCTCACATCCTACTCTTCTTCACTCCTTAAAAAAATGTTATACCTCCCTGGCCAGTACATGAAATTACTGCCTCCCTTTCTTCATTGACATTTAAAAGTTCCTCAAAATATTCCTGCCATTTACCCAATACCTCCAGCTCCCCATCTGTTAACTTCCCTACTCTGTTTTTAACTGACAAATCTATTTGTTTTCTAGGCTTTCTTTTCTTGTTTATCTCACTCCAAAAATTTTTCTTGTTTTCAGCAAAATTTCTTGACAATGCCCCTCCCACTCTATCATTTGCTCTTCTTTTGCACTCTTCACCTTTCTTTTACTCTCCATATGCTCTTCCCTTCTTATATCACTTTTGCTTTGTAAAAACCTTTTATAAGCTACCTTTTTCTCTTATCGCACCCTTTACCTCATCATTCCAACAATCACTCCTCTTTCTTCCTGCACACACCCTCCTATAGCCACAAACTTCTGCCGCACATTCTAATACTGCATTTTTAAAACTCTCCCATCCCTCTTCAACTCCCTCACTACCAATATTTGCACTAGCCCACCTTTCTGCTAATAGTTGCTTATATCTCACCCTAATTTCCTCCTCCCTTAATTTATAAACTTTCACCTCTCTCTTACTTACTGTTGCCATTTTCCTTTTTTTCCATCTACCTCTTACTCTAAATGTAGCTACAACTAGGTAATGATCCAATATATCTGTTGCCCCTCTATAAGCATGTACATATTGAAGCCTAACAATCGACCTTTTATCCACCAGTACATAATCTAACAAACTACTTTCATTATGTGCTGTATCATATATTGTATACTTATTTATCCTTTTTTTCATAAAATATGTATTACTTATTACCAATCATCTTTCCACATGCACTTCAATTAAAGGCTCCCCATTTTTCATTTACCCCTGGCACCCCAAATTTACCTGCTACTCCCTCTACAACATTTTTACCTACTTTAGCATTGAGATTCCCAACCACAAGTATTCTCTCTCTTGGTTCAAAACTCCCCATGCACCCACTCAACATTTCTCAAAATCTCTCTCTCTCTCTCTCTCTCCTCTACACTTCTTTCTTCTTCATATGTATAACCACTTACTATAACCCACTTTTCACATCCAACTCTTATTTTACTCCACATAATCCTTGAATTTATACATTTATATTCCTTCTTTTCCTGCCATAACTTATCCTTTAGCATTATTGTTACTCCTTCCTTAGCTGTAATTCTATTAGAAACACTTGACCTAATCCCATTTATTTCTCCCTACTGAAACTGCCCTACCCCCTTCAGCTTTGTTTCACTTAGAGCCAAGACATCCAGCTTCTTTTAATTTGTAACATCCACAATCATCTCTTATCATTCACACTACATCCATGCACATTCAAACATCCCACTTTGAGGAATTTTCCTCTTTTTCTTTTTAGTAGGCTATATGGGAAACGGGGTTACTAGCTTATTGCTCCCAGCATTTTAGTTGACTTTTACAACACGCATGGCTTACGGAGGAAAGATTCTTATTCCACTTCCCCATGGATATGAAATGAAAAGTAATAAGAACAAGAACTATTAAGATAACCTCAAAGAAAACTCAGATGAGTGTGTATACATGCACATGTACATGCATGTGTAGTGTGACCTAAGTGTAAGTAGAAGTAGCGAGACGTACTTGAATTCTTGCATGTTTATGAGAGAGAAAAAAGACACTAGCAATCCTACCATTATGTAAAACAAATACATGCTTTAAACTCACTTGGCAGTACGGTAGTACCTCCCTGGGCAGTTGCTCTCTACCAACCTACTACCTGTAAGCCTATGAGCCATATTGGCATTGAAAACATATGTTGTCAAGAAGTAAAATAAGCTAAGAAATAATGCATCAGAGGCTGACTTCATTCATAATTCAAAAGTAAATCTTTTAAACACAGTAGGGTGAGCCTAAGAAGACAATGCATTCATCAACATTCACTCAATTGCCATCTTACCAGAAATGTGCTGAAATAACAATCAGATTACCCCTCTGACTGCAATATCCTCACCCCTTTTTCAGAGTGCAGGCACTGCCCTTCCCACATCCAGGACAAGTTTGACTAACCAGTTTTCCTGAATTCCATAATAAAAGTTACCCTGCTCTCAATTCAACAGGACATCCATTAAAAACATCTTGTCTCCATTCACTCCTGTCTGACACTCTCGCACAAGCCTGCTGGATGCTCATGCCAGTAAAACTAAAAGCCTTTTGTAAGCCCCTCCCTCACCATTCTTGGAATAGGATGATGATCTCTTTCCCTTCTACCTTTCACCTCAGATTTATACACATTTTGATGACTATATCACAACAGAATGAATTTAAAGAGGTGGCCTAAAGAGCTAAATTTCAGCAACCTCGGGTTAGTAAATACACAAGTGTAATAAATACTCAGTAGTAAAGGTACTGTATATTTCAGCCTACAACTTCAGTCTGCTGAAGAGGGCCTCAGTTGTATGTCATTGTGTACATAGTCCTACATTTCATTTTATATTCTCTCATGTGGGTTTGCTTGTTTGACAACTACATAAATATGTATGTAGTCACATGCACTCACTCAAAATCTCTCACCATTAATCAACACAACAGCTTATGATTAATATGAGAGGCATTCTAGAATATAATACTGTAGTTATAAGTATTGTATGCAAGTTTTCTGACAACCACTTAATATGACTGACATGATCACTTACTTCAACAGGAGAAATAATGATTGGTGCATCCCCTGGTACATTACCAACACATAGCCTTCTGGACCCATCACTCATTGCTTCAACAACCACTCCAGTCACAGCTCTTCAACCCAAGGAGAATTTCGTGCCTAAAGTTTTCCGAGGGTGCTTAGGAGCTATTAGGATCCAAGATGTACTAGTTCCTTTTTATTCACAACTGGATCTTATCAACAACACTGCAGCTAATCAATTCCTGAGAGTAGTAAGTATTAAGTGCCCTTTTTTTTTTGTGACCTGATTTAAAGTGGTTACAGAAAGTAAAAATAGTTTTATGTATATTTTAACACCCTTCTGGGATCCTCTTCAGCAGAAGAGGAGCCCAGGAGGAGGCTGAAATATACAGATCAGTTAATCTTCCAAGTTACTGTTTCCATGTGGGTTATTATTGAGCAAAATATGAGATGTTCAGGTAATGAACTTTTAAAAGATTTATAAGTATGAATGAAAACAATTAGCAAGATGGCTTAGCAGTTTCTATAAAAACAGTGACAAATGTGCCATCAGCTAATGAGCTAGCCCTTATGAACATAAGAATAAAATATGTGCAGGATCCTGTTAATGAAGAACTCTTGGAATCAGTAAAATGCCATCTGTTAGAAGCTGCCCCATTTTTAATATACATTAATACTATTAACAAAATACAGTGCCTGCTGTTTAAATGGTTGGGATATTTGCAGTTTGGGGGGGCATCGGAACTGTAGTGTCTGCACACCTCTGGCAAGGCAGTGATAGAGTGAATTATGGTGAAATTATTTTTTTTTTTTTTGGGGGGGGTCACCCTATCTAGGTGGGAGATGGCCAGTGTGTTTAATTAACCCTTTGACTGTTTTCAACGTATAAATATGTCTTACGAGCCAATGTTTCTGACGTATATATACTCAATAATTCTAGCGGCTTCAAATCAAGCGAGAGAAAGCTGGTAGGCCCACATGTGAGAGAATGGGTCTGTGTGGTCAGTGTGCACCACATAAAAAAAAAATCCTGCAGCACACATTGCGTAATGAGAAAAAAAAAACTGATCGTTTTTTTGGAATAAAACACCGACTTTGAAGTGTATTTTCGTATAGTATTTATCGTTGTATTCGCGTTTTCATGGTCTTAGGTGATAAAATGGAAAACATATTACAGAAATAGAGATGATTTTCATTACTTTGACTATGAAAACGACCTTGAAACTGAGCTCAAAGTAGCGGAAATGTTCGATTTTTACCAATGTTCACAAGTAAATAAATCACACCACACGTCCAATACACGTCAACTGGGGAGTCTAATATTCTTTCACTAGTGCACTGATATTATTTATACCATTTTTACAATAATGCAGTAGTCTGCATAACAGTAAATTTTGTATTTTTTTGTATGAATAAAAAATCAAAATAGAAAGCAGTAATATAAGAGGGGCCTAGAGATGTGACTAATGAACAGAGCATATGTTATTTTAGTGCCACGAATGTCTACCTTGTTTATTCTGGACCCTATTTTGAAATTGGCATCTTTTTTAGTTTGCGTGAAATTGGCCAAATTGCCAATTTCTGACCACCATATTGGGTAGTCCAAATTAGTAAATGGGAGGTTTCTTGTACTCAGCTGATAGATAAAATGGAGTTCTAAAGAAATAGCTATGAGTTTGGTCAACTGGAACAATGGAATTGGCTGAAAATAGGGCTCAAAGTCGGCGAAATCGCCGATACGCATATGTTGCCGAGACCGCTAACTTTGCGGGAGCATAATTCCATGAGTTTTCGACCAAATTTCGAACTTTTGGTGTCATTACCATCGGGAAAAGATTCTCTATCATTTCATAAGTTTTTTTTTTTTTTTTTTTTTTTCAAAAATTGAGCGACATAGAATGACAGTTTCAGAAAGGGGCCTGAAACAGTCAAAGGGTTATTAAGAAACTCTTAATAAACCACCATAGATTAAATTACTTTCATGTGGGGGGCACTAAACCTATAGGGGTCATACATCACCTGGGAAATGGTAGGCATTCAGGTTCAGTTCAGGGGAAGCACATGCCCAGTTCCTTAGATCAAGAGCCCTTCACTTCCCTCAAAGAACCTCCCTTGAGGGGAAAAACCACCTTTCTGTATTAATCAAAGAGCCAATATGAAGGTGCTACAATTCATTGTTTGTAGTATAAAATCTATTTTGTGTGTTTCCATTAACCACTGTAGAAATAGCACACTGTCTGTAGAACTCTTATTACATTAGTAATAAATGCTTTACCTACCTTTTGCAGTCTCCTGTTTTCCTTCTCTTGTGCAGCTGCACTTCTTTGTCTTTTTTTGTCAGTTGAGTGGGCTTGCAGTACCAGTTGATATAGCCTCAGAAAGAACATTTGACATGAGGTAGTAGACACTGTAGTTCATGGAACCTTCCACAGAATGTAGTTTTTCATAATGTGTTGTATTAGGCTCAGGTTCATCAACCTCTATTTTTCCTGCCATCAGCACTCAGTTCAGTAGAGGCGGCAGCTATATACCAAAAAAGGTGAATAAAAAAGATGTAAAAAAAAGGACGTGAGTATAGAAAAGGGCAAGGTGATGGGAATAAGTGGAAATACAGGGAATGAGACAGTTCATATTGGAAAGAAAGAGTACAAAGCAAATGTATTTGCATAATTAGGAGTAAATTTATCATCAGTTGGGTATATGAAGGATGAAGTAAATCAAAATGAGGAAAAAGTTGCAGTGCTGAGGAATCTGGAATGAAAGAAATTTACCAGTTGATACAAAAAGGGAAAAGTATTAGCGTGATGTAGGCTTTTGAAGGTTAAAGTAAAGAGGAAATTGGAAGCAGCAGAAATATGGTCAATATATGGTGTGGATATTATGCAAGAAATAATAATAGATGAATTTAGGATACCTAGGTAGTAGGTTGGTAGACAGCAACTGCCCAGAGAGGTACTACCGTCAAACCAAGTGAGTGTAAAATGGAAGCATGTAATTGTTGTACGTGACAGTGGGATTGCTGGTGTCTTTATTCTGTCTCATAAACAAGCAAGATTTCAGGTACGTCTTGCTACTTCTACTTACACTTAGGTCACTCTACACATACATGTACAAGCATATATATTTACACACACCCCTTTGGGTTTTCTTCTGGTTTTCTTACTAGTTTTTGTTCTTGTTTATATACTCTTATCTCCATGGGGAAGTGGAACAGAATTCTTCCTCTGTAAGTCATGTGTGTCGTAAGAGGCGACTAAAATGCCGGGAGCAAGGGGCTACTAACCCCTTCTCCTGTATACATTACTAAAGTTAAAAAGAGAAACTTTTGTTTTTCTTTTTGGGCCACCCTGCCTCAGTGGGATACGACCGTTTGTTGAAAGAAGAAGAATTTAGGATAGTTGTGGTGGTATTCAGTGTTTAGAGAGTGAAGGAAGGATTGTTGAAACGTAGCAAGAGTGCTACTAATTAGGTTGATTAAGGGTGGGTGGAAAGAGATGAATGTAATTTCAGAGGAAGGGTTGCAAAATAGAACGTAGGAGGTGGTATAAGCATGTTAGATCAAGGTGAGTAGAGGCAAGCAATCTTTGGAATTTGATGTTTGAGTGTAGTAATATACTAAAATGCTGAGGGAATGTTAACCTGACAAGTTTTAATAATTGGAAGTATGTACAAGTATGTACTGAGTATACCAGGAAAAGTGTACGGTAGGGTTATTATTGAAAGAATTAGAGGTAAGACAGAATGTAAAATTGCGGATGAGCAAGGAGGTTTTAGAGTGGGTAGGGGATGTGTAGATCAAGTGTTTACATTGAAGCATATATGTGAGCAGTATTTAGATAAAGGTAGGGAAGTTTTTATTGCATTTATGGATTTAGAAAAGGCATATGATAGAGTAGATAGGGGAGCAATGTGGTAGATGTTGCAAGTGTATGGAATAGGTGGTAAGTTACTAAATGCTGTAAAGAGTTTTTATGAGGATAGTGAGGCTCAGGTTAGGGTGTGTAGAAGAGAGGGAGACTACTTCCCGGTAAAAGTAGGTCTTAGACAGGGATGTATAATGTCACCATGGTTGTTTAATATATTTATAGATGGGGTTGTCAAAGAAGTAAATGCTAGGGTGTTTGGGAGAGAGGTGGGATTAAATTATGGGGGATTAAATACAAAATGGGAAGTGACACAGTTACTTTTTGCTGATGATACTGTGCTTATGGGAGATTTTAAAGAAAAATTGCAAAGGTTAGTGGATGAATTTGGGAATGTGTGTAAAGGTAGAAAGTTGAAAGTGAACATAGAAAAGAGTAAGGTGATGAGAGTATCAAATGATTTAGATAAAGAAAAATTGGATATCAAATTGGGGAGGAGGAGTATGGAAGAAGTGAATGTTTTCAGATATTTGGGAGTTGATGTGTCAGCGGATGGATTTATGAAGGATGAGGTTAATCATAGAATTGATGAAGGAAAAAAGGTGAGTGGTGCATTGAGGTATATGTGGAGGCAAAAAATGTTATCTATGGAGGCAAAGAAGGGAATGTATGAAAGTATAGTAGTACCAACACTCTTATATGGGTGTGAAGCTTGGGTTGTAAATGCTGCAGCGAGGAGGCGGTTGGAGGCAGTGGAGATGTCCTGTCTAAGGGCAATGTGTGGTGTAAATATTATGCAAGAAATTCGGAGTGTGGAAAGTAGAAGAAGGTGTGGAGTTACTAAAAGTATTAGTCAGAGGGCTGAAGAGGGTTTGTTGAGGTGGTTTGGTCATTTAGAGAGAATGGATCGAAGTAGAATGACATGGAGAGCGTATAAATCTGTAGGGGAAGGAAGGCGGGGTAGGGGTCGTCCTTGAAAAGGTTGGAGGGAGGGGGTAAAGGAGGTGTTGTGGGCGAAGGGTTTGGACTTCCAGCAAGCATGCGTGAGCATGTGAGATTGGAGTGAATGGAGACAAATAGTATTTGGGATCTGACGATCTGTTGGAGTGTGAGCAGGGTAATATTTAGTGAAGGGATTCAGGGAAACCGGTTATTTTATACAACCGGACGTGAGTCCTGGAAATGGGAAGTACAATGCCTGCACTCTAAAGGAGGGGTTTGAGATATTGGCAGTTTGGAGAGATATATTGTGTATTTTTATACGTGTGTAATTCTAAACTGTTGTATTCTGGGCACCTCTGCAAAAACAGTGATTATGTGTGAGTGAGGTGAAAGTGTTGAATGATGATGAAAGTATTTTTTTGGGGGGGATTTTCTTTCTCTTTGGGTCACCCTGCCTTGGTGGGAGACGGCCGACTTGTTGAAAAAAAAAAAAAATGTACAAGGCTTGCGCTTTACAAATCTGGTTGGGATGTCATGGGAAAACTTTGAAGCTAAGTAGTACTGAATATATTTTCTTGGTCATCCTGCCTCAGTGTTAAAAATAAAATGAATGATTTTAAAATTTGTATGGTTTTATTTACATTATAATGTTGTAACCTATAATATAAATTCTGTCTTAGACTAGTTTGGATCAAAATAATGACTCGTAAGTTGGTCAGGAGTGTCAAGGTGAATTGATCTGATCGGTTCAATGCATGATTTTGATCTTCAACATTTTGAAAGGGATTGTAATTGCGTATTATGTTATGGAAGGCTAAAACCCCCATTGGGATCATACTGTCCCTAAGGAAGGAATGGAAATGGTTTTATGATTTTTTTATTTCTACACCGTGCCGATTCCCACCAAGGAGTGGGCCCCGAAAAAGAAAAACTTTCACATGTTACTGCATCACGTCGTGCCAGAAGGGTGTTTCTGGGTTTTTTAAACTTGGCACATTGAGACGCCGACTTTCGAGAAGGCATGTACTGCTGCGGAATCAGTGGGCCAGGCCGGTTTCGCTAATCCTCATAAATGTTCTTGGCTCCCCCAACAGCACAGAAGTTAAAAATATGTTTTCTCCATTTCACTCCTTCAACCCCCTACCATCTTCTTGCTGTTGTCCAAGCCCCTAGTTACATTAACCTTCCTTTACTATCCCTTCCCCTCAACCCTTCCTAGGCCGACCCCTACCCCGCCTTCCTTCCACTACAGACTGATACTTTAATCTGCTTTAATACAAGTATCAAGAGCCCTTTACCAGCATCAGATAATTCCTCCTCTCTTCCCTTTGAGGGGCCAAGGCAGTTTAAAAAGTGTGAACACTTTGGGAGTTGCAACACTCCTTCAGTTGTACAGGAAGGTGCTTAAAATAGACACATTCCTCTATATAACACAGCTCTTTGTAAATGCAGTTGCAAAAGTGAATCCAAGATTGAATGGCATTTGAAAAGGCCTTCATAGACATGCTGTTTAATTTTGGATGAATGTTTTAATTGCATTTGCAAAAAAATTGCATTATACAAAATACCTTCATAAGAGAGCTTACTGTATTTCTTTATTTTTCTTTACAGAGAGAATCATTAACAAGTATTGGTTGCACTGTCTGCTATAATGAAGAGTGTATGCATGGGGGTATTTGTTCTGATCCAGCAGAAGTTTTCAGTTGTTCATGTCCAGTGGGATTTGAAGGCAAATTATGTGAAATAAACATTGATGAATGTGTTGATAATACGTGCCTTAATGGAGCAACATGTGTTGATGGCATCAACCAGTATACCTGTGCATGTATGCCAGGCTACACAGGACACTCGTGAGTATTGATATTCCTAACATACAATAAGAGTTGTAATATTTCCTTTATTTCTGTTGAATTTAATATATAGTAATATTCATTTTCTGAGGTAGGCTATTCAAAATTAGGAGTCTACTAGGTCACCTGTTTATTTAAGACTTCTTGTACTGTGGTACTAGTCATTCATGGCATTGTTTTTCCTAACATCAATTCTTCTAACTGTATTATTCCTGTTTTCATACATATCAATATGATGAGATATAATATTTCATGAGTAAATTTTCTTTTATGATTTTTTTCTTTTTATTTAAGCAGTATTGCATTTCAGTAGTCAAAACCCACAGTGACACTTTTACACTGTACCACAGGAAACATTACCACAGTTTAGTTTTGATTTGCAGTGACTTTGACAATACAGGTCAGCCATCATTAATCCAGCATCATTGGGACATCATTTACCTGTACCGTTGGCATGGTAAATCACAAGAAACTGTCATACCTCTAAAAGCTCTGGGATGTAAACTTTTACCAATGACGCTAGTCGAAATTAGTGCCGGATTAGTGATTGCCGAATCGGTGATGGCCGACCTGTATAGAGTGGAACCTCCACTCACGAGTTTAATCCGTTCCGTGACCTTGCTCGCATCTGGATTTGCTTGTTTGCAGAATCAATTTTCCTCATTTAAATTAATTGAAATGCAATTAATCCATTCCCGGTTCTCAGGAGGCACGACAAGATACTTCAATACTATTTTGCTGGTATCATCTATACGGCTTATTTATCTATCACAATTCATCTAATATGACCTATATGATCACATATAAATAACATAGAATCCTGATATATACTGTAGAATGAATAAAATATGTCACTATGTAACATGTGGAGGCAGCCACAATCACTCCCGCTTTGTTGTGGTAAACACTGCCATCTAGTGAGGGCCTTTTGAAGCCATCTATTATTATTTTTTTTTTTTTTTATTATCACACCGGCCGATTCCCACCAAGGCAGGGTGGCCCGAAAAAGAAAAACTTTCACCATCATTCACTCCATCACTGTCTTGCCAGAAGGGTGCTTTACACTACAGTTTTTAAACTGCAACATTAACACCCCTCCTTCAGAGTGCAGGCACTGTACTTCCCATCTCCAGGACTCAAGTCCGGCCTGCCGGTTTCCCTGAATCCCTTCATAAATGTTACTTTGCTCACACTCCAACAGCACGTCAAGTATTAAAAACCATTTGTCTCCATTCACTCCTATCAAACACGCTCACGCATGCCTGCTGGAAGTCCAAGCCCCTCGCACACAAAACCTCCTTTACCCCCTCCCTCCAACCCTTCCTAGGCCGACCCCTACCCCGCCTTCCTTCCACTACAGACTGATACACTCTTGAAGTCATTCTGTTTCGCTCCATTCTCTCTACATGTCCGAACCACCTCAACAACCCTTCCTCAGCCCTCTGGACAACAGTTTTGGTAATCCGCACCTCCTCCTAACTTCCAAACTACGAATTCTCTGCATTATATTCACACCCCACATTGCCCTCAGACATGACATCTCCACTGCCTCCAGCCTTCTCCTCGCTGCAACATTCATCACCCACGCTTCACATCCATATAAGAGCGTTGGTAAAAACTATACTCTCATACATTCCCCTCTTTGCCTCCAAGGACAAAGTTCTTTGTCTCCACAGACTCCTAAGTGCACCACTCACTCTTTTTCCCTCATCAATTCTATGATTCACCTCATCTTTCATAGACCCATCCGCTGACACGTCCACTCCCAATATCTGAATACGTTCACCTCCTCCATACTCTCTCCCTCCAATCTGATATTCAATCTTTCATCACCTAATCTTTTTGTTATCCTCATAACCTTACTCTTTCCTGTATTCACCTTTAATTTTCTTCTTTTGCACACCCTACCAAATTCATCCACCAATCTCTGCAACTTCTCTTCAGAATCTCCCAAGAGCACAGTGTCATCAGCAAAGAGCAGCTGTGACAACTCCCACTTTGTGTGTGATTCTTTATCTTTTAACTCCACGCCTCTTGCCAAGACCCTCGCATTTACTTCTCTTACAACCCCATCTATAAATATATTAAACAACCACGGTGACATCACACATCCTTGTCTAAGGCCTACTTTTACTGGGAAAAAATTTCCCTCTTTCCTACATACTCTAACTTGAGCCTCACTATCCTCGTAAAAAACTCTTCACTGCTTTCAGTAACCTACCTCCTACACCATACACTTGCAACATCTGCCACATTGCCCCCCTATCCACCCTGTCATACGCCTTTTCCAAATCCATAAATGCCACAAAGACCTCTTTAGCCTTATCTAAATACTGTTCACTTATATGTTTCACTGTAAACACCTGGTCCACACACCCCCTACCTTTCCTAAAGCCTCCTTGTTCATCTGCTATCCTATTCTCCGTCTTACTCTTAATTCTTTCAATTATAACTCTACCATACACTTTACCAGGTACACTCAACAGACTTATCCCCCTATAATTTTTGCCACTCTCTTTTATCCCCTCTCCTTTATACAAAGGAACTATGCATGCTCTCTGCCAATCCCTAGGTACCTTACCCTCTTCCATACATTTATTAAATAATTGCACCAACCACTCCAAAAACTATACCCCCACCTGCTTTTAACATTTCTATCTTTATCCCATCAATCCCGGCTGCCTTACCCCCTTTCATTTTACCTACTGCCTCACGAACTTCCCCCACATTCACAACTGGCTCTTCCTCACTCCTACAAGATGTTAGGAGTGAGGAAGAGCATTATTATTATACATGTATTATTATTACATGTATTATATTATTATTATTATTATTATTTTTTCTTGAACAAGTCGGCCGTCTCCCACCGAGGCAGGGTGACCCAAAAAGAAAGAAAATCCCCAAAAAGAAAATACTTTCATCATCATTCAACACTTTCACCTCACTCATACATAATCACTGCAATAAATAAGAATTTTGGTGGTGGCTGCCACAACCTGGCCAGTATTATTATTATTATTATTATTATACTATTATTATTATTATACATAAACAGGCTAGATAACAGGGATATCTTGCTTCTCCTACTTACACTTTGGTCACACTTCACAGACACGCACATGCATATATATATTTACATACATCTAGGTTTTTCTCCTTTTTCTAAATAGCTCTTGTTCTTTTTTATTTCTTCTATTGTCCATGGGGAAGTGGAAAAGAATCTTTCCTCCGTAAGCCATGCGTGTCGTATGAGGCGACTAAAATGCCGGGAGCAATGGGCTAGTAACCCCTTCTCCTGTATACATTTACTAAAAAAGAGAAGAAGAAAAACTTTATAAAACTGGGATGCTTAAATGTGCGTGGATGTAGTGCGGATGACAAGAAACAGATGATTGCTGATGTTATGAATGAAAAGAAGTTGGATGTCCCGGCTCTAAGCGAAACAAAGCTGAAGGGGGTAGGAGAGTTTCAGTGGGGGGAAATAAATGGGATTAAATCTGGAGTATCTGAGAGAGTTAGAGCAAAGGAAGGGGTAGCAGTAATGTTAAATGATCAGTTATGGAAGGAGAAAAGAGAATATGAATGTGTAAATTCAAGAATTATGTGGATTAAAGTAAAGGTTGGATGCGAAGAAGTGGGTCATAATAAGCATGTATGCACCTGGAGAAGAGAGGAATGCAGAGGAGAGAGAGAGATTTTGGGAGATGTTAAGTGAATGTATAGGAGCCTTTGAACCAAGTGAGAGAGTAATTGTGGTAGGGGACCTGAATGCTAAAGTAGGAGAAACTTTTAGAGAGGGTGTGGTAGGTAAGTTTGGGGTGCCAGGTGTAAATGATAATGGGAGCCCTTTGATTGAACTTTGTATAGAAAGGGGTTTAGTTATAGGTAATACATATTTTAAGAAAAAGAGGATACATAAGTATACACGATATGATGTAGGGCGAAATGACAGTAGTTTGTTGGATTATGTATTGGTAGATAAAAGACTGTTGAGTAGACTTCAGGATGTACATGTTTATAGGGGGGCCACAGATATATCAGATCACTTTCTAGTTGTAGCTACACTGAGAGTAAAAGGTAGATGGGATACAAGGAGAATAGAAGCATCAGGGAAGAGAGAGGTGAAGGTTTATAAACTAAAAGAGGAGGCAGTTAGGGTAAGATATAAACAGCTATTGGAGGATAGATGGGCTAATGAGAGCATAGGCAATGGGGTCGAAGAGGTATGGGGTAGGTTTAAAAATGTAGTGTTAGAGTGTTCAGCAGAAGTTTGTGGTTACAGGAAAGTGGGTGCAGGAGGGAAGAGGAGCGATTGGTGGAATGATGATGTAAAGAGAGTAGTAAGGGAGAAAAAGTTAGCATATGAGAAGTTTTTACAAAGTAGAAGTGATGCAAGGAGGAAGAGTATATGGAGAAAAAGAGAGAGGTTAAGAGAGTGGTGAAGCAATGTAAAAAGAGAGCAAATGAGAGAGTGGGTGAGATGTTATCAACAAATTTTTGTTGAAAATAAGAAAAAGATTTGGAGTGAGATTAACAAGTTAAGAAAGCCTAGAGAACAAATGGATTTGTCAGTTAAAAATAGGAGAGGAGAGTTATTAAATGGAGAGTTAGAGGTATTGGGAAGATGGAGGGAATTATTTTGAGGAATTGTTAAATGTTGATGAAGATAGGGAAGCTGTGATTTCGTGTATAGGGCAAGGAGGAATAACATCTTGTAGGAGTGAGGAAGAGCCAGTTGTGAGTGTGGGGGAAGTTCGTGAGGCAGTAGGTAAAATGAAAGGGGGTAAGGCAGCCGGGATTGATGGGATAAAGATAGAAATGTTAAAAGCAGGTGGGGATATAGTTTTGGAGTGGTTGGTGCAATTATTTAATAAATGTATGGAAGAGGGTAAGGACCTAGGGATTGGCAGAGAGCATGCATAGTTCCTTTGTATAAAGGCAAAGGGGATAAAAGAGAGTGCAAAAATTATAGGGGGATAAGTCTGTTGAGTGTACCTGGTAAAGTGTATGTTAGAGTTATAATTGAAAGAATTAAGAGTAAGACGGAGAATAGGATAGCAGATGAACAAGGAGGCTTTAGGAAAGGTAGGGGTGTGTGTGGACCAGGTGTTTACAGTGAAACATATAAGTGAACAGTATTTAGATAAGGCTAAAAGGTCTTTGTGGCATTTATGGATTTGGAAAAGGTGTATGACAGGGTGGATAGGGGGCAATGTGGCAGATGTTGCAAGTGTATGGTGTAGGGGTAGGTTACTGAAAGCAGTGAAGAGTTTTTACGAGGATAGTGAGGCTCAAGTTAGAGTATGTAGGAAAGAGGGAAATTTTTTCCCAGTAAAAGTAGGCCTTAGACAAGATGTGTGATGTCACCGTGGTTGTTTAATATATTTATAGATGGGGTTGTAAGAGAAGTAAATGCGAGGGTCTTGGGCAAGAGGCGTGGAGTTAAAAGATAAAGAATCACACACAAAGTGGGAGTTGTCACAGCTGCTCTTTGCTGATGACACTGTGCTCTTGGGAGATTCTGAAGAGAAGCTGCAGAGATTGGTGGATGAATTTGGTAGGGTGTGCAAAAGAAGAAAATTAAAGGTGAATACAGGAAAGAGTAAGGTTATGAGGATAACAAAAAGATTAGGTGATGAAAGATTAAATATCAGATTGGAGGGAGAGAGTATGGAGGAGGTGAACGTATTCAGATATTTGGGAGTGGACGTGTCAGCGGATGGGTCTATGAAAGATGAGGTGAATCATAGAATTGATGAGGGAAAAAGAGTGAGTGGTGCACTTAGGAGTCTGTGGAGACAAAGAACTTTGTCCTTGGAGGCAAAGAGGGGAATGTATGAGAGTATAGTTTTTAAACCCAAAGCTCTTATATGGATGTGAAGCGTGGGTGATGAATGTTGCAGCGAGGAGAAGGCTGGAGGCAGTGGAGATGTCATGTCTGAGGGCAATGTGTGGTGTGAATATAATGCAGAGAATTCATAGTTTGGAAGTTAGGAGGTGCGGGATTACCAAAACTGTTGTACAGAGGGCTGAGGAAGGGTTGTTGATGTGGTTCGGACATGTAGAGAGAATGGAGCGAAACAGAATGACTTCAAGAGTGTATCAGTCTGTAGTGGAAGGAAGGCGGGGTAGGGGTTGGCCTAGGAAGGGTTGGAGGGAGGGGGTAAAGGAGGTTTTGTGTGCGAGGGGCTTGGACTTCAGCAGGCATGCGTGAGCGTGTTTGATAGGAGTGAATGGAGACAAATGGTTTTTAATACTTGACGTGCTGTTGGAGTGTGAGCAAAGTAACATTTATGAAGGGATTCAGGGAAACCGGCAGGACGGACTTGAGTCCTGGAGATGGGAAGTACAGTGCCTGCACTCTGAAGGAGGGGTGTTAATGTTGCAGTTTAAAAACTGTAGTGTAAAGCACCCTTCTGGCAAGACAGTGATGGAGTGAATGATGGTAAAAGTTTTTCTTTTTCGGGCCACCCTGCCTTGGTGGGAATCGGCCAGTGTGATAATAAAATAAAAATAAAATATTATAATTATTATTATTATTATTATTATTATTATTATTATTATTATTATTATTATTATTATTATTATTACAGTACAAATTATTTGTAATTCACTCAAAAACTAGAAGATTTACTGTTATGCAGACTACTGCATTATTGTAATAACTGTATAAATAATGTCAACCCATTCACGATTGCATATTGGAATGTACATTGATGTCATTGGTTTACTCTTGAACATTGCCAAAGAATCGAAAATTTCTGTTACTTTGAGCTCAATTTCTAGGTACTTTTCATTGTGAAACCAATCAAAAAATATCTATTTCTGTAATACATCTTCCATTCTATCAAATGAGACCAAACAAACGAGAATACAACCATTAAAACTATATGAAAATACCGCTAAAGGGCGTCTAATTGGTGAGAAGTGAACTCCATTATGTATGGTCTGATTTCTTTCATTTTTGGTGTGTGTTAAGAAGCATCTTTCTATCATACAGTGCCCAAGTTTCAATAAGATAGTCCAACAAACAAATGAGATCCAATTCCCTAGATCAGGAGCAAGAGCCCCTCACCATCATCAAGGAACCTTCCTTGAGGCCCGCTCGTTTATGGAAATTTCACTCGCGTATGGAAGCAAAAAATTGACCAATCGACTGCTCGTATGTGGAAAAACTCGCACATGGATGCGCTCGCAAGTGGAGGTTCCACTGTATACCCTTTCAGAATGAATTCTCTAGTCAGATTATCTGTGTGCACTCACATGATAATAACAATAGTAATAAATTTATTTCATTTCTGCAGTATACGGGTAATGTAGTTTACGTGTAATAAAATATTGTTAGGCACAACATGCAGTGCATTTCAGATGGACTAATTCACTCAAATGTGTTTCATTTAGCTACACTCAGTATGTGCTGCAGTAAGGATGCTTGTCGAATTGATCTGATGATTGTCTGTTCTTTATTCTTAAATATAATGAAAGACTTTGATTCACATACTTCTGTAATACATTTTTAATCTGTGGATGCTTTTACATTACATCTTTTTTAACTTTTTTTATAACGATATATTTTATTTTTCCAGCTGCGAGCAAGATATCGATGAATGTTATAGCAGCCCATGCAAGAATGGTGGAGTTTGTATAAATGAAGTTGCACAGTTTGTATGCCAGTGTCCAGAGGACTTCATTGGTCAAACCTGTGAAGAATTGAAAGTCAAGAATTGTTCTAATCGGATGTGTCTCCATGGTGCTTCTTGTACAGATATATTTAGTGAGTACTTTTAGTTTTTTCTCAAATATGGGTACTTGAGGCACAGGTTGCCTATGCAAAACAAATTATTTATACAAATTGAACTGAGCATAAATGGATGCAAAATCATAATCTCTAAATGTTGATGTTTTAGATTAGCCAGAGTTGGATAATCTAAATTTTGATTTATACACCCTGTTGGTCAAATTATATTGCTACATCCTCTCTACTGTGCATGACCAAACCACACAAGTTTTGGACTCTGTGAATAATGTACCATGTACGATAATGTGGTACCACGTCACTATATATATTTATTATATATTTTCCAGATTCTTTGACTGGTGTTGCAGACAATTACACTTGCACTTGTCCATTTGGATACTCAGGAAGCAACTGTGAAAATATTACTGACTTTTGTACACTGAAAACTATAACTTGTCAATATGGTTCTTGTGACTTGACATTCAAAGATGAGGTAATTATGTTATCAGTTTTCATGTAATTCCTTCTCACAAATATGAATAAAAGTAATTGAAGCAAATAACTTATTATATGGGGGGGGGTGTTGTTTGTTCCAATATAATTTATTAAGTCCATATTACAAACTATCCCAAAAGATTTTTCAAACAACAGTTTATACAAATTTTGTGCATATACAGTAGGGCCCCACTTTACGACATTTTGCCTTACGGTGTTCCGCTAATGTGGCGGTTTCAAATTATGACCAAAACTCTGTACGACAAGTGGTCTTTCTAATATGGTGCACGCCACCTAGTTTGTTTACATTATCTATGAGCACATCTCTTATGTTTGGAAACTTTCCAAAATTTCAAGTGTTTTAAAGTTATTACATATTTTATGTTTTTTTTTTTTTTTTTTTTTTTTTTTTAACAAGTTGGCCATCTCCCACCGAGGCAGGGTGACCCAAAAAAAGAAAGAAAATCCCCTAAAAGATAATACTTTCATCATCATTCAACACTTTCACCTCACTCATACATAATCACTGTTTTTGCAGAGGTGCTCAGAACACAAGGCGGGGTAGGGGTTGGCCTGGGAAGGGTTGGAGGGAGGGGGTAAAGGAGGTTTTGTGTGCAAGGGGCTTGAACTTCCAGCAAGCATGCGTGACCATATTTGATAGGAGTGAATGGAAGCAAATGGTTTTTAATACTTGACATACTGTTGGAGTGTGAGCAAAGTAACATTTATGAAGGGATTCAGGGAAACCAGCAGACCGGACTTGAGTCCTGGAGATGGGAAGTACAGTGTCTGCACACTGAAGAAGGGGAGCTAATGTTGCAGTTTTATAACTGTAGTGTAAAGCACCCGTCTGGCAAGACAGTGATGGAGTGAATGATGAAAGTTTTTCTTTTTCGGGCCCCCCTGCATTGGTGGGAATCGGCTGATGTGTTAAAAAAAAAAAAAGACATTTTCATTAATCCATCTATGATATTTTCTTCAGAATTATATAAGAAACACCTTACATAGCATATAAACATGCTATGTTTACATGCTTTGGAGAGGTGGTAGTCGGGTGGGTGGAGGGAAAACATTATGTGTTCTCTGGTCCAGCATCAGAGAAAACATATGAATCTGCATCTGGCCCAGTCACTACCCATAACACACAACGCTTTTGTTTACAATTCTCGGCATGAATTATTCATTAGTTTTCCCTTCAGTTATGATGGCATCGAAAGGTAGTTGTTAGAAATTATTAAACTCAGTGAAAGAAGGTATGTCGATGGTAATAATAATATAGCTTTGGGCTGCATTAATTATCATATAGCTACATAGGTTGTACATGTTTATAGAGGGGCAACTGATATATTGGATCATTATTTAGTTGTAGCTACAGTTAGAGTAAGAGGTAGATGGGAAAAGAGGAAGGTGGCAACAACAAGTAAGAGGGAGGTGAAAGTGTATAAACTAAGGGAGGAGGAAGTTCGGGTGAGATATAAGCGACTATTGGCAGAAAGGTGGGCTAGTGCAAAGATGAGTAGTGGGGGGTTTGAAGAGGGTTGGAATAGTTTTAAAAATGCAGTATTAGAATGTGGGGCAGAAGTTTGTGGTTATAGGAGGGTGGGTGCAGCAGGAAAGAGGAGTGATTGGTGAAATGATGAAGTAAAGGGTGTGATAAAAGAGAAAAAGTTAGCTTATGAGAGGTTTTTACAAAGCAGAAGTGTATAAGAAGAGCAGAGTATATGGAGAGTAAAAGAAAGGTGAAGAGATGGTGAGAGGCAAAAGGAGAGCAGATGATAGAGTGGGAGAGGCACTGTCAAGAAATTTTAATGAAAATAAGAAAAATTTTTGGAGTGAGTTAAACAAGTTAAGAAAGCCTAGGGAAAGTATGGATTTGTCAGTTAAAAACAGAGTAGGGGAGTTAGTAGATGGGGAGATGGAGGTATTAGGTAGATGGCGAGAATATTTTGAGGAACTTTTAAATGTTAAGGAAGAAACAGAGGCAGTAATTTCATGCACTGGTCAGGGAGGTATACCATCTCTTAGGAGTGAAGAAGAGCAGAATGTAAGTGTGGGGGAGGTACGTGAGGCATTACATAGAATGAAAGGGGGTAAAGCAGCTGGAACTGATGGGATCATGACAGAAATGTTAAAAGCAGGGGATGATATAGTGTTGGAGTGGTTGGTACTTTTGTTTAATAAATGTATGAAAGAGGGGAAGGTACCTAGGGATTGGCGGAGAGCATGTATAGTCCCTTTATATAAAGGGAAAGGGGACAAAAGAGACTGTAAAAATTATAGAGGAATAAGTTTACTGAGTATACCAGGAAAAGTGTACGGTAGAGTTATAATTGAAAGAATTAGAGGTAAGACAGAATGTAGGATTGCGGACAAGCAAGGAGGTTTCAGAGTGGGTAGGGGATGTGTAGATCAAGTGTTTACATTGAAGCATATATGTGAACAGTATTTAGATAAAGGTAGGGAAGTTTTTATTGCATTTATGGATTTAGAAAAGGCATATGATAGAGTGGATAGAGGAGCAATGTGGCAGATGTTGCAAGTGTATGGAATAGGTGGTAAGTTATTAAATGCTGTAAAGAGTTTTTATGAGGATAGTGAGGCTCAGGTTAGGGTGTGTAGAAGAGAGGGAGACTACTTCCCGGTAAAAGTAGGTCTTAGACAGGGATGTGTAATGTCACCATGGTTGTTTAATATATTTATAGATGGGGTTGTAAAGGAAGTAAATGCTAGGGTGTTCGGGAGAGGGGTGGGATTAAATTTTGGGGAATCAAATTGAAAATGGGAATTGACACAGTTACTTTTTGCTGATGATACTGTGCTTATGGGAGATTCTAAAGAAAAATTGCAAAGGTTAGTGGATGAGTTTGGGAATGTGTGTAAAGGTAGAAAGTTGAAAGTGAACATAGAAAAGAGTAAGGTGATGAGGGTATCAAATGATTTAGATAAAGAAAAATTGGATATCAAATTGGGGAGGAGGAGTATGGAAGAAGTGAATGTTTTTAGATACTTGGGAGTTGACGTGTCGGCAGATGGATTTATGAAGGATGAGGTTAATCATAGAATTGATGAGGGAAAAAAGGTGAGTGGTGCGTTGAGGTATATGTGGAGTCAAAAAACGTTATCTATGGAGGCAAAGAAGGGAATGTATGAAAGTATAGTAGTACCAACACTCTTATATGGGTGTGAAGCTTGGGTGGTAAATGCAGCAGCGAGGAGACGGTTGGAAGCAGTGGAGATGTCCTGTTTAAGGGCAATGTGTGGTGTAAATATGCAGAAAATTTGGAGTGTGGAAATTAGGAAAAGGTGTGGAGTTAATAAAAGTACAGTGGATCCCCTGTTAACGATATTTTTTCACTCCAGAAGTATGTTCAGGTGCCAGTACTGACCGAATTTGTTCCCATAAGAAATATTGTGAAGTAGATTAGTCCATTTCAGACCCCCAAACATACACGTACAAACACACTTACATAAATACACTTACATAATTGGTCACATTCGGAGGTAATCGTTATGCGGGGGTCCACTGTATTAGCCAGAGAGCAGAAGAGGGGTTGTTGAGGTGGTTTGGTCAGTTAGAGAGAATGGATCAAAGTAGAATGACATGGAAAGCATACAAATCTATAGGGGAAGGAAGGCTGGGTAGGGGTCGTCCTCGAAAGGGTTGGAGAGGGGGGTAAAGGAGGTTTTGTGGGCGAGGGGCTTGGACTTCCAGCAAGCGTGCATGAGTGTGTTAGATAGGAGTGAATGGAGACGAATGGTACTTGGGACCTGATGATCTGTTGGAGTGTGAGCAGGATAATATTTAGTGAAGGGATTCAGGGAAACCGGTTATTTTCATATAGTCGGACTTGAGTCCTGGAAATGGGAAGTACAATGCCTGCACTTTAAAGGAGGGGTTTGGGATATTGGCAGTTTGGAGGTATATGTTGTGTATCTTTATATGTGTATGCTTCTAAACTGTTGTATTCTGAGCACCTCTGCAAAAAAAGTGATAATGTGTGAGTGTGGTGAAAGTGTTGAATGATGATGAAAGTATTTTCTTTTTGGGGATTTTCTTTCTTTTTTGGGTCACCCTGCCTTGGTGGGAGACGGCCGATTTGTTGAAAAAAAAAAAAAAAGCTGCATAGGTAGGTGCAACTATGTAGTCAGGCAGACTACATAACTACATCTACCTGAATGTACTGTATGTGTATTTTATCTCACTGGGCTGCTTTAAATATCATATATGTATTAAGTTTGGGACGTGGAGCCAGGGCTACCTACACCTGACTTCCTACAAATAAGTACTACTCACCTCTCACCCGAAATTAAGACTACAAATATTTTAAGGTAGGCAATCAATATACTGTGTATTATTTTACTTTTTATTGTGTTTTTAATGCCTAGTTTTATTACTAACTTAGTGTAAACCTGTTGTCTGGCATTTATATGCATTATAAGTGGAAAAAATTGCGTTCTGCTTTCCGGCAATGCCTGCTTTCCGGCGATGTCTTCTTTCCAGCCTGGAACCTAACCTGCCATATAAGTGGGGCCCTACTGTACATGTTGCAGTGATATTACCAAATTTATTAGCAACTGTAAATTAAGCCTAACCAGATTTGACATACCATATATGCAAGAATATCATTATCATTTTTATCATGGGAAGAATTAAACCAATAGGGGGGAAGATGGAAGGCATTCAGGCTAAACCCAGGAAACTATGGAAAACCAGCATAAAACCCACATTATAAAAATACAACAATAATTTAAAATTTACAAGATTGCCAGCAGGCTGATCCTTGAACTAAAGGAATAGAACCATGAATACAGTAGGGCCCCACTTATACAGCCTGTTAGGTTCTAGGCTACCGCCGCAAAGTGAACATCGTTGGAAAGCAGAACACCATTTGTTTCCTTTTATAAATGTCAGATAATAAGTTTACACTAACATATATTAAGTTAGCAATAGAACTAGTCATTAAAAAATAATAAAAAGTAATATACACACACAGTACA